TTCCAAATCACAGCCATCCGTTGCAACTGGGAAAACCATAGCCTTGACTATACACTTTTATTGGCAGGGGGATGTCTCTGCTTTTTAGGCTGCTGTCTACATTTGCCATAGCTTTCCTCCCCAGGAGCAAGTGCCCTTTAATTTCTTTTATAACCCAATAGAATTTATAACTCTCAACAAGCAGCTGGTTCTGGCCATGATTTGGAAATAGCTGGAAAATTTCCTGCCCTAAAACATCTAGAAAGTATTTAAAAAAAAAACCTGAGTCCTCAATCTATAACAGGTCATTTTGTGACCATTCAGTCACAAGGGAAAACAGAGTTCATGCGAAGTCCAAAGCACTTCCAAATTATTTTCGTACAGGTAGCCCTTGACTTACAACCAATTGAAGTTACATAGGCACTGAAAAAAGTGAATTATGATCAATTTTCACTTATGACTGTTTCAGCATCCCAGTGGTCCCCTGATCAATATTCAGATGCTTATAGCAGTAGCAGTTAGACTTATATACCGCTTCATAGGGCTTTTAGCCCTCTCTAAGCGGTTTACAGTCAGCATATTGCCCCCAACAACAATCCGGGTCCTCATTTCACCCACCTCGGAAGGATGGAAGGCTGTCAACCTTGAGCCGGTGAGATTTGAACCGCTGAACTGCAGACAGCAGTTAGCTGAAGTGGCCTGCAGTACTGCACTCTAACCACTGCGCCACCTCGGCTCTGCTTGGTTTACTGGCTCACATTTATGACGGTTGCAGTGTCCTGGCGTCATGCGATCAACATCTGTGACCTTCTCACAAAAGTGAAGTAAAATGGGGAAGCCGGATTCACTTAACAACCGTATCACTAACAACTGCAGTGATTCACTCAACAAATGAACAGGTTGCTAAATGGGGCAATACTCAACTGTCTTGCTTGGCAACAGACTCCCTGTAATCCTTCCATAAACCTTGTTACAGATTCATTCGTTGCTAAACCAAAATCAACCAAACCTCATTGTCCACCATACTCTGGAAGCTCCCAATTTATCAAGAAATGCAAAGGCTGTTTTGGAAATATACCAGGCACACCTGGGTAAGCTACTGAGATGATGATGATTTTTTAAATCAGGTATTTGGTTGATTTTTCGTGCTCTGGGTCTCATTAATCCATGCTTTTTGCAACTGATACACCACGCTTTCAAAGAGGACTTTCTGCAGACAGCAAAGCCGGTTTTAATGGCAACAACGAATACAAAGAATGCTTATGGGCTCAGGAGGAGGTAGATGGGCACCGTTGCTGGGTGATACAGCTATTTTATGCACAGGCCAGCTGCCGTGGCTACAGACCTGGCAGAGAACTGTGACTGCTGCTTCAGCCTGAAAACTCCTTTATTCTATAAATGTCTGAGCCAACAACGTTTGAGGCTTCAGCAGAGAATATATTGTGGAAATATATGCACAAAATATCCCTACTTTTTAAAAAAACGTTCTGTGATCTTAAAGAGTTTTTAAAACGAAAAGTAGCAAAAATACCAGCCCGGAGCCTAAGAATTCTATTGACAAATGATTAAGATTTATTGATATGGTTAATGATACAGAAATGTGATGTTTTCGACCGTTATTTCAGCAAAAAAAAAAGTTTCCAAGATGATCAAATGTCGTACATCTTTGGGGGGTAAAAACAGGGACTCATTAAACTACATCTAAAGCAGTGGTGGGTTCCGGATCCCATTGCAACCAGTATGGTGCAATGGGGACGGGCATCCACTACATGAACGCGAGCAGCACATGCGCATGCGCACCTAGTGGCTGCGATGCCTCCGTGACACTCCAGCTGCTCAGCGGAGCATCACGCAGGTGCCGTATGCTCTGTGCACGTAAGCCCCAAACAGTTCAAATAAAGGTAAGGCGGGCGGGCGGGCCCTCCAGAGCACCGTACTGGAACGGTACCTGGTGCTCCCAGCAGGCACCGGTACACCCATACTGGGGCGTACCGGTTGTATCCCACCACTGATCTAAAGACACCATGTAAGAATAAATCCATTTAAAGGAGCCAACCCAATTTGATGCTTTGCAGTTTTAAAATCATGAAATGGTAAAGAGATGAATAAGTTAAAACCACAGTTACTTTTGAAGTTCCTTTCCAGGATTCCCATGAACAATATAAAACGGGTCCAAGTGTTTTAAGAGAACAACTCCAACTTTAAGTGGAATATTTAGCAGTACGTTGAAATTGATAAAAAATGAAGCAAGAAAGCAGCTGAATACAAATCGGCTGCAGACAGTTACGCCTTAGTCCAGGGGTATCAAACCTTGCAACTTTCTGTGGATTTCCAACTCCCAGAATTCCCCAGCCAGCCAGGTTCACAGATCTTAAAGTTGCAAAGTTGGACACCCCTGCCTTAGGCCAAGAATCTAATGCATACAGAACATTAAATAAAACACACATTTTTGGTTCAATGCAGAATCATTAAATAGTCCTGATTTATCTAGGCGAGTCTGTTTGGCATCCCTGTAAGTTTGATGCATAGCTTCTTGGAATGACTTTCCGAGCGAAGGAAAGAGCCAGTTTGAATCCAAGGAGAAGTCATAAATGATTTACTTTGGGGATTTTATTCTACAGGAAGAAGTCAACAGACTATGCTAGGAAACGGAGGGGATTGCCTTGAGAAGACAGGTGAAAAAAATTAATCATCTAACCCAAGCAGTGGTAGATCAGTGCAACGCAAACTGTCCTCCTTTTGAACATGTGTCCAATATCACAACACATACAGAAAAGAATGAATGGCTGCTTTCATCATTTACTTATCAAATGTATCCATACTCCAGGGAAATGCTTCTGCTTTAGAATAATCTGTGGTTACCTACAAACCATCTATGACAGACGTTTTGTTAACTTACATCAAGCTACCCCAAATTTGCTTCACTATGACTTCAAAGATATAATTGAGGGTCAAATGCAAGCTTGGAAAGTTTTTTTAAAAAAATTTCCAGTTTATAGGAAGGGAGTTGCTGCCCTACATCAATCCCACAGGAATATAGATGATTAAAATGTATGTGATGAAATCTGACGTATCATCCAAGTTTTGCTAATTATAGAGACATCAGGACATTTAACACTTTCATTCATGCTATAAAAAAGAATGTTACGGTTGTTACAGCAAGTCCTCTCTTCGGTTGTTTTTGGCAACAAATGTTCATGCCCGGCAAAGACTTCACCCAAGGAACATGCAAATAAAATACCAGCTCGTAGCAATATTTAACCGCATAATATAGTTGAATCTAGTTAAGCAAAACCAAGCATTGATAAAATGAATAACTGATCCAAGTGCTGGGAACACTCGGCTTCAGTTAACACTTCTGGAAATGCTATAATGTACTTAAAAATTCTTGGACCTGCAAAATAAAAAGAGGGAAATTAGCAGTTCAATAAAGGCAAAGGTTCCCCTGCACATATATTCTAGTCGTTTCTGACTCTAGGGGGCAGTGCTCATCTCCGTTTCAAAGCCGAAGAGCCAGCGCTGCCAAAAGACATCTCCGTGGTCCTGTGGCCGGCATGACTAAACGCTGAAGGCGCATGGAACGCTGTTACCTTCCCATCAAAGGTGGCTCCTATTTTTCTACTTGCATTTTTAATCTGCTTTCAAACTGCTAGGTCGGCAGAAGCTGGGACAAGTCACAGGAGCTCACTCTGTTAGCAGCGCTAGGGATTTGAACCTCCGAATTGCCGACCTATCTGATCGACAAGCTCAGTGTCTTAGCCACTGAGCCACCTAGCAGTTTAATAGACCAGCTAAATAAAAGTGGGAGCTAAGTTCTGAGAACATTCTGAATATGCACACAGTTAAGGCTCTAAATATGGTAACCAGAAAATTTATTTAATCTTAATTTACCCTGGGTTTGTTAGATGAATCTGCCGTTGGAAGCACTAATAAGGACATTTGCTTTTAATTAGTGGCTGAGGACTTTAAGGACATTATGCGGATTGGTATCTTATGACAGTGTATGAACAATGCCTTAAAGCAGAGTTTGTCAAACTTAGAAACTTTAAGACTTAATTCCCAGAATTCCCTAGCTGGGCATGCAGATTTCAATAGAAACATACAAGGACAGAGCTTTTGATTATTAAACAGAGTGACTTGGAGACACATAAACTAGCACTCTTTGGTGAGTTTTACCTTCTCAATCATATTTTCATGTTTGTCTCTGTTGCCTTTGAAATCTTCATTTACATCGAGGGTTAAAACGGGTACTTTTTGCAAGTATTCAAACTCTGTTCTGTAAACAAAAAACGCAATTTGAATTAGAAACCTAACAAAGGTAGAGAATTACAGAAATATGCAGGAATCCTATAACGCTTGTTCTGAAGCAATCCCCGTTATACCTTGAACTATACACCTCTTTGCTAATATGTCTTTAAAAGCTGGAATTGTCCAGGCCTATAATTCCTAATAGCCACACTAATCACAGTATTAAAGAGCCACAAAAGAGCTTTTAAAATTACAGTCAGTAAATTAAAATATAGATATATATTTTAGAAATGGAAAGTCTCTTAACATTTTCCACTGGCTCAAATATTTCAACTAGGGGTTATTTATCTAACAAATTCATGGGACCATTAAAGTGGACAACCATTTGTATGAAATGGTGCAGGGCGTGGGTGTCAAACTCTAATGCATCACATGACATGTCGCAACATTTTTTGTCTTTGCAGAGCGGGGGTGGGCACATATTCCACCAGGCCCATGGGCCACCAGTTTGACAGGCCTGGTGTAGGGTTTCCTGCCTGAGAAGGGGGCTGGACTAGAAGACCTCCAAGGTCCCTTCCTACCCTGTTATCCTGAGATTGGACCATCCAATTCCCTAGATCACCAGGGAAAAACACAGTTTCCACTGTGTTCATATTGGCTTAGGCCCCAATGTCATCTCAGTTCAAAAGACAGATTGGTTGGTTGATCTCTCAAAGCAAAAGGTTTTTGGGATAGATGTAGCAGGAACAATCAGGGAAATGGTCCCAAAGTTACTTTTTCAAAAGGCATCTGGACTTTCTTGGTTTTTTTTTCCTTGAAGACATTTTGCTTTTCATCCGAGAAGCTTCTTCACTTCTGGGCATTACAAAAGCGAAAATCCAGTTGCTTTCAGAGAAAACAACTTCGGCGCATGGATAACCGAGAATCTTGGCAAACCATCAGGGAAATTAAAATACCGTAATGTCCGATGCTGGAGCCAGCTTTCGTGTTTGTAATGGAGTTTCTCCAGATATTCCATGGGAATGCCTTGCTCTTCATCCCTTCCACGGATGTAAATCCTATCCAAGCATTTCTAAACAGGGGGAAAAAAAATGCAAGACTGGAATAGTACAGGGATGGTGAACCTTTGTGTCAATGTGTGCCAAAATTGTGGGTGCATGCGCATGCCTTCACCCACAATGTAATGCACCCTCCCCACCTGTGTATGCATGTGCAATCCCCTGCACATGAACCCCCCCCCCCCCGTGTGTGAGTTTTCGCCCTCCCCCGTTGGGCCTGTTTTACACATTCCCCAGGCTCTGGAGGCTTTCCTGAAGCCTGGGGACGGCGAAAACGGTCACCCCCGGCCCCCCGTAAGGCCAAAACTCAGTTGGCTGGCGTGTGCATGCGCGCTGGAGCTGACAGCTCGCGTACCAGCAGATATGGTTCTGCGTGCCACCAGTGGCACGCGTGCCATCTGTTCGCCATTACGGGAGTAGGATTTTCAGGCAAAACTGAAATAAAGCAAAATGCCACATTCTGATAGGAAAAGAGCAACAACTGAAATGATCAGCTTTCTAACATTTTAAAAAATTAATGAGTTATAAATCAAAAACCCTGCCAAGGATTGTATTCTAAAACAGCAGCCCCCAACCTTTTGGGCAACAGAGACCAGCCCCATGGAGAGGTTTTTCTGCAGATGGGTGGGGGCATTGTTTCACGTGCTGCCTCCATCCCATGGATGGAGCGTCACTTGTTTGCGTGGACCGGTTGCTGGCATGCTGCGGATTGGTGCCAGTTCACGGACCGGGGGGTTGGGGAGCCCTGCTCTAATGTCCAGTGCATTCATAAAACTTTATTTCTTACTTCAGGAGTAGCTCGGAGATAAATAATGCCATCCAGTTCAAGGCTCGATCCATACTGCTGATTCATCCAACTGTGCCAATCTTGATAAATAGTCCACTCTGTTTCATTCATGCAATCAGATTCATATAAATTGGATGCAAAGATGTATCTTTCCAGGAAAAGTAAAGAATTCAGTTTAGCTTTAATTATCCTAAGATGGGAAAACATTTTATTTTGGACATGGAACAAAAAACCAAAATAATTCTCACAGCCAGTTTAACTGTTGGAAGTTCTTCACTGCCGGTTGCAATTGTGAGATGGGTGGTTATATAAATCAGTGTTTCCCAAAGTGTGGTAAGCGTACCCCCAGGGGTACGGGAAGAGTTTGGTGGGGGTACGCGTTGCACCGGAGTTTGGACGTGGAACCGCATCTCAGGTTAAAATTAACAACCAGGGAACCAAATTATGATGATCTGTCATCTCAACATAAACAATTTCTTTTTTTTTTGATCTCATGTTATTAATAATATGTATTTATAACAATTTTTCCCTACTGTTGACAAAATACTTGAAGATTGCTTTTTTAACATCCC